AAAAAAAAAAAAAAAAAAAAAAAAAAGGAAAAGCAAAACTGCAAAGATTTTAAATTAATTGATTATTTAAAAAATTGTAAATTACATTTATATCGTGAAAGAAAAAAAAACGATCCAGCTTCCTTCACTTCGACAGAGCTCTACGTTAATCACTCTCGAACATGTTTTTTGCATTGTGAGGAAGCAACGGTGACTTTGTTGTAAAAATTACAACTGTTTCTGAGAACGTTGAAAAATTGTTCGCGCGACGTTCGATCTATCGTGATCTTCAAGACTGAGGAAAATGAAGAAGATTGAGGATAATCTTTTCTTGAAAACTTGCTTGAAAACGATTTTATTGAAACTTTGAACATTGGTGGCAAAAACACCAATATTTCGAATATTTATTTGAAGAAGTTGTTGCAAAAAGGGGAGACCTTAATCTTCAAGATCGTGAGCGAAATTTTTCTGTGATTTTGGATTCTTGCTTCGTCCACCTGCTGCGTGTTGTAAAAACATCATAAAAACAAGGTTGTTAAAGTAGAGATTTCACGCTTCGAAACGAGGTCAACTGAATTCTATTGATTTCGTTTCACAGAGTTTAAACAGTTTAAAATATCGATAATTCTCCATCGCGAATACTTTGCACATACGCGAGATCAATCTCTCGGATTGATACGAATTGAACGCACTACGAATTTTCGCAAATAAATTCGCCTTGCGAAATTTGAAACGGTTTATTTGTGCAACTTTGATCTGCGAAGAATGAAGAATTTATACTGGAACTCGAAACGTCAGTCCTCATATTGTTAGATCGCTTTTCAGACTCTGTGAATCTCTACTGTCGACCTTAGATCTCTCTAGAGAAATATTTAGAATCGTCTGCTGAATCGAACGAGTCCAAGAAGATGGTGCTCGGTGATGTTTTTTAATTCTATTATTATTTTTCGTAATTCAGAGCCTCGATAACCGAACTCTCGACGAAACTACGGCTTCTTAACCCATTTCAACGCGGCTGTCTTGTACATTAAGTTGTACATAGCGTGAATCAATTGCTGAGAGACACTACAGTGAGTGGTGGAACGCGACTATTCTGCCACTTATTTTGTCATACCTCGTTCAATTTTCTTCTCTTCTTGTGTCTCATTAAAAATGATCACACACGTACGTACTTGGGTCAGAGATCTTTACTTTAATTTTCTTTGGTCTTTGCAAAAATTTCATAAATGAAAGCAAATCGTCTTAAAGTTCGTTTTTTAGAAGAACATTTAATCGTTATAAAATCACAAGACGTTGAAAAATTCATCATTTGAGGTAAGGAAATAAACTTGAATCATTAGATGATGGATATTCACCGTAGAAACAGCTTCTATGTTAAAAATGATATTTTAATGAATCTACATTTTCTCTCCTGATTCGACGATTAAATCAATCCCGTGTATCAGCGTGTATCGAATAAAACGAACAACTAACCGAAGTTTCCATTACGAGAGCTAGCTACGTTGTTAATCGCAGCACACCTTATCACGTACGACTTGCGGTTTTGCTTTTCACATGGAAGAAGACTCGAGGGTCGGGCATCCATTAATTGCAAGCACCATCCCCTGGCGCTGTAATATGTAAATTTCTAACGAAGATGAACAAACAGAATATATCCAAGTACACACACAGGCTGACAGAATGTTTAACCGTACTATAAATTAGCCTCCAGCCTTCCGCGCTCATTATCAACCATAAATTCGTATGATTTATTAATCCCAACTCGCGAAATGGTTAATCTGCCGTATTCTAATTCCGTGTGCTCAGTCCCGGGGATCTAATAACTATCTTTATTCACTGCCTGGCAGATCCATTCGGAATATAT